TAATCGTTACCACTTACTCTTCAACTGTGTAATGTTTTCTCCCACTTCCATCTTTGATAGTGCTTTTTCTTCAAGATCACTAAAAAAAGATCTTGTTGCTAAATATAGTAGCCACTCCTTTTTTTCATCTTTGTCTTTCATCTTACTTGCTGTCTAAGTAGCATTTTCTCTGCTGATCATATTTTTTGTTTGCTGACTCCATTTTATTCATAGTACAAATAGGCAGTTACAATTGGTTATCACTGATAATCAAAGCCACTGGTATAACAGTCTTCATGAAAATATATTGTACAATGAGAATATACAGTAATAGTCTTTTCAAAAGCAATGGTTGCAAACATCCATCTTTCTAAGAAATATACCTGTTATATAAATTCAGACAATAGAAAGTGTGTGAAATAATAATGCTTATTTTATGGAAAAATGAAAATAATTTTAATTATGACCTATATGATTTTAAGTAATTAGAGTCCTCTTAGATTGGATGTAGAACATAAAGACATTTTCCATAGCTTACAACCATCCTAGTCAAAAAGAACTGAAAAGTTAATAAGTAAGTAGAATTGCCATAACCAACTGTGTTCAAACCATTTTTGGTACCAGGAATTGAATTTACGGGCACTTGATCACTGAGCTATCTGCAGCCCTATTTTTGTTTGTATTTTATTCAGAGACAGGGTCTCACTGAGTTGCTTAGTGTCTTGATTTTTAAAAAATATATATTTTAGTTGTTGATGGACCTTTATTTTATTTATTTGTACACAGTGCTGAGAATTGAACCCGGTGTCTCACATGTGCCAGGCAAACGCTCTGCCACTGAGCTACAGCCCCAGCCCAGTGCCTTGCTTTTGCTGAGGCTGGCTTTGAACTCACACTCCTCCTGCCTCAGCCTGCTAAGCCTCTGGGATTTTAGGCCTGCGCTGCCATGCCCAGCTTAAACAGAATTTTTTAGGTACAAATTGTAAATTGTTTTAACTCCAGCTAATTAAGGGAAATAAGCAAGAAGAGAACAGTATTCAGTTTTTAAATAACTTTCTAAGGAATTGAGCTCTTGATTAAGCTAATTTTTATGAGAAGTTCATTTTTTTAAGAGAGAGAGAGAGAGAGAGAGAGAGAGAGAGAGAGAAGAGAGAGAGAATTTTTTAATATTTATTTTTTAGTTTTTGGCGGACACAACATCTTTGTTTGTATGTGGTGCTGAGGATCGAAACCGGGCTGCACGCATGCCAGGCGAGCACGCTACCGCTTGAGCCACATCCCCAGCCCAAGTTCATTTGTTTTTAACCTAAAATGGTTTAAAGATTATTTTATGAACTCTGAACATTCTAGTTCTTTAGTTTTTCTCAAGGAAAGAGAACTTTGTATGCTTAATATTTTTCCTTGCAATTGATCTTCCCTTATCTTCCATGAATGTTCCTGGTTTCATTTCTTTCTTTTTTCCCTTTTTTTAACCTATGTGATCGGTTTTGCCTTTGTGAGCAATTCTCCCTTGATCTATTCCGTTAATGCTATTGCTCTTCTTGATTCTGATTTAGGATATTCCCTTCTCTCCCTATACATTCTCCTCTTTGCCAACCTATTAGCTTGTAGGGCTTCAATTACCATTGAATTACCATCAATTACCATGTTGATGATTCCCAACTTTCTGTGTAAATCTTTTTCTTTCTTTTTTTTTAATATTTTATTTATTTTTTAGTTTTCGGCGGACACAACATCTTTGTTTGTATGTGGTGCTGAGGATTGAACCCGGGCCGCACGCATGGCGAGCGCGCTACCGCTTGAGCCACATCCCCAGCCCATGTAAATCTTTTTTCATAGGCTCAAATGTAGTGTGTGGTATAGGTGGAATAAATGACTGTTTATGTGGTATGACTTGAGACTCAATTATCCAACTTAATCTTTCTCATTGGTTTTTCCCAGAGTCTGAAATTCTTCCCCACCATTATTCCCTGTATTGTCTTAAGGCACCATGACTTCAGATAAAATTAAATTTTAGATAAAAGAGCTGTATCTTTACCCTTACAAATAGCAATTGTTATATTATCCCTAATAGAGATCAATACCTTGGGAGACTGCAACAAGATGTGGATATTGTGTTTTGCAGAGACAGAAAGACATACACACCCACATCCCACTGCATTACTTTAACTCATTCTTAACCTTCCAGCCACCATTAACATTTGGGAATTTAGCATTCTAGTGGTTGTGTGTGTGTGTGTGTGTGTGTGTGTGTGTATCATATGGTCATATTGTATATACTGCATTATATCCTACATTTGAAACAACATATCACAGGTTTTTCCCTATCAGTGTAAAACCAATGGTCTAGTGATATTTCATCTTTTGATGTATAATACAATGTTTAACTCACTCTCCATTGTTAGACAATTAGGTTACATACACTGTGTTGAATGCCCATGTAGTTGTGTCACTGCATACATCTAAATTATTTCCTTGTTAAAATTTTTATGAAGTAGAACTGCAATGTCAAAGAATATTTCACTTTAATGTATTTTAATATTCAAAGCTAAATGAACCTTCAAAATTTCTATCAATTTCAGTCCTAATAAAAGTACCCCTATATCATCATTATTTATAACCTATATCTCATTTCAATTTATATTTCTTTGATTTCTCATGTAGTTTGGATTTTTAATATATTTGTTTTCCATTTGCTTTCACAGTGTTTGAATAAACTCTTTCTGTTTTATTTGTCTACATGCCCATTACCACTTTTTACTTGCTACTCATTTCTGGCACCTTAAAATCCAGTCCAGTTGCTTCCAATTTTGTCCCTTTCCAGTCCATCCACTGCAGTCATAATACTCTTCTCAAAACATAAATATGAACATATCACTCCTCTTCTTAAAATGCTTCAGTGGTCCATTGTTCTTAATATAAAGGCAAAAGTTTGTAACATGAGGTCCTACAAGGCCCTGCATGACTGTCTTCAGGCAAGAGAGAACACACATACCCACACTGCCGTTGCTTAGCTAACTCCTATTCATCATGTAGGTGATTGCTCAAAATTAACTTCTTCTGGGGAGATTTCCCTTAGATTCCAAGTCCCTGAGGGTGACTCCCTTTGCACATTAGTTTTGCTTAAGTATTTGTTGAATGGGTGGGTTGATGGATGGATGGATAGAAGAAAGAAAGATTGGGGAGGCCAGGAAGAGATTTTATGTACCATTATTTTGGCTGAAATTTTACCTTAAGGAGTTATCTCCTTATTCACCAAATCTTAGAAGACTGGCTGTTAAATGTGAGACCTAAAGATTTTACCAAATTGTATTTGATTTGTATATATATATATATATATATATAAAATTTAGTTGTACATGGACACAATACCTTTGTTTTATTTATTTATTTTTATGTGGTGCTGAGAATCGAACCCAGGGCTTCACATGTGATAGGCGAGCACTCTACCACTGAACCACTATCCCAGCCCCTTGATTTGTTTATATTGATCTGCACTTTATTCCCAAAATATCTCTATTTTCAAAAACATACAAGAGATATTTGTAGATGTGTATGAGGGCATGCCTACATGAGGATATGTATTTGTTTAACTCCCTATCCCCTTATAATTTGTTCCCCATAAAAATTTCCTTTCTTAACTTTCTACATGTGATGCTTCTTCCTTCCACCCTAATCTGCATGTTGTTATGCCAATTTAATATTTCTTTCCAGCCTGTCATTTGCATGCACAAAGATCTTCATTGGCTTTGATTCAGAAGGTCTGATATAGAACTTAAATATATGTATTTTGTTAAAAGCCCTTGCCCCCCAGGTAATTCTGATGCAGAAACATGGTTAAGAATTGCTCAAGTGTAGCCAGGTGAGGTGGCATATTCCTATAATCCCAGTGGCTTGGGAGCCTGAGGCAGGAAGATTACAAGTTCAAAGCCAGCCTCAGCAATTTAGTGAGGCCCTAAGCAACCAGTGAGACCCTGTCTCTTAAATAAAATATAAAATAGAGCTATGGATGTTACTCAGTGGTTAAGCACTGCTGGGTTCAACCCCTGGTACAAAAAACAAACAAAAAAAGATTTGCTCAAGTGTGTAAAACATACACCATTTTTTTTAAAAATAAAAGGAATAGTAGAAATGGTTATGGGTACAGAGGTTAAAGTCAGGTGGACAAAGGTTCAATTATATTTTGATCTTTATTGGTTGTGTGATTTGGGGCAAGTTATTTTGTTTTTTCATTGTGTCAGTTTTCTCACTTGCAAAATAGAAATTGCATCCACTACACAGGGTTATGGTAAGGAGTAAATTATATAATGCATGTAAAGTATATACAAAATGTCCTATATGTATTAAACACTCAATAAATCTTAGTAATTGTATTGTTGTTGCTAATAATTCAGTTATTAATTCAACAATTATTTATTCACCATATTTCCAACACTGTTTTAGGTACCATGGAAAATTAAGAAGTACAAAATATGAACCTCATTCTTGAGGCTCTTGGAATTAGTTGGAAAAATAAAATTATTGAAGCATATACAATATAGAACAATAAAATGAAACAAATAATATAAAAGATCAAATAAAGGACAGGATTTACAGTAAGGTATTAACCAGCATGTCATTTTGTTGATTAGCATGAACAAAATAGAGAGGGAGGAAACAATTTCTCAAACTGCTCTTACCAAGCCTTCAGAGGTCTAGTTCTGATGCTGCCTGCCAGATGGAAAATGATGCAGAGGGGAAAAAATCCTGTATTTACTTCTCAAAATTAAGACAGGATGGGGGAGTATGTTTGAGGGGTGAACATATGTGAATAAATATGGTATAACTCTTAATTGGTTCCTGAAGATTAAAATTGAAAGGGTTTCTGTTGGAAAAGCACAGCTATGATATTTTCAGTTAACAAATCAAGCCTTACAAGTCATTTATTTTCACCTTGTTAAACCAGAAATCAAACACTGGATGAAGGTTGCAAACCTATGTTGATGTATATTGATGAACTTTTCTTCTTTTTTTTTTTTCAGGGTCGCTATGGCAACTGCATCTTCTCAAGTTCTGATTCCAGACATCAATTTTAATGATGCCTTTGAAAACTTTGCTTTAGATTTTTCTAGAGAAAAGAAATTGTTGGAGGGGCTAGACTATTTAACAGGTGTGAAATTACTGTGCTTTCCTTCCCATTTTAATTTTTCAATGAGCTTTTAGTTTAAAATAATCTGAAAAGGACAATATTTACAAGTAAATGATTTTGCAATCTTTAAAATGATTGTAAAATATTAGAATGTGTCTTAGTTTATATAATTGGAATGAAAAATGATTTGTCAAATATTTCTGGAGTCAGAAAGGGTATACCATCCATACTTAAAGGTAAAACACAAGAAATTGCTGAGTCTATCAGTTATATATTTTTAACTGTTATAAGGGTAAAACATAGGTAAGAATTAGGGAATATTATAGAATGTCCCACATTGTTAGGTCCTTACTCAAATGGTTTTAAGGAAACTTAGGAATCAACAGATCAGGAAGAAAATTGTAAGAAATAACTGGCTTGCAGACAACTTTAGAAAATACAGGATACCAAACAAATGTGATCCCTCTTGATCTGTTTTTTTCTTTAAGCATGAGCTATCTCAGCCTTACTGAGAATTTATCCTCTCTAACATCTAACATCGGTTTTAGTTACCATGTTTATTTTTTAAATGTTTTGTAAAACATTATATCCAGTCTCAGAGCTATTAGGACTCAGGATTAGTTTTCAAGACATGTTTTTCATATCAGAAACATCTGTCAAAAGTGACAGGGTACAATTGTTAAAATGTCTGAAATAGAGGGTAATAAATGTCTACAAAAAAAGAAAATAAGGGATACAGCCTGCCTGTTAAAAATGCTGCTTATATTGAGGGTTATTGAATGGTTATTTCCTAAGAAAATATACACACACTAACATTATATTTATAGCTGTTTTATTAATATATTAACATAGCTATCATTTACTGAACATCTACTTTATACAGACACTGTATATTAATTTTATATAATTAATCCTCACAACAAATCTATAAGGTAATTATCATCCCCATTTACAGATGGGGGAACTCATACTGATTTGCATTTGAATATACTGTCAAACATATATAATAAAACTCATTCTTAAATATAAATAAATATGCTAAGAACCATGTAATAAGAAAACCATGTGGCTACTTTGCTCTAATACCTACATATGTGTTTATAGGCAGACTAGACAGCTGGGGTGATCATCATAATAACTTAAGCTTGTACGTTGGCCTAAAATTTTTCATCATTGAAATAAAAGTACTTTGGGAGAGCTTAAGTCTCAGCACTGTACTTCAGGCTGCATGGTTCTTGCAATCCTAAGTTTTTCTAAGAAAACGTCTCCATGGATGGGGTGCAGCTCTGTGGTAGTGTTTGCCTAGCATGTCCAAGGCCCTGGGTTGGATCCCCAGCACCACAAAGCAAAACAAAACAATGAAAACTACTCCAAAAGATGTTGGGTTAGGCAGAAAGAGTAAGGATTATAAACTTGGATAAAGGAGAATGTGCTTTCCTTACCATCTTGTCTACCTTTCCTTACAGCCCCAAACCCACCATCCATCCGAGAAGAACTCTGTACTGCCTCCCATGACACCATTACAGTCCATTGGATCTCGGATGATGAGTTCAGCATCAGCTCCTATGAGCTTCAGTACACCATATTCACTGGCCAGGCTAACTTCATCAGTAAGTCATGGTGTAGTTGGGGCCTGTGGCCAGAGATAAGGAAATGTAAGGAAGCAGTAAGCTGCTCAAGATTGGCCGGGGCGCCACGAGGCAAGTGTTTGTAAGACATGTTAGGTTGTTTAGTATAGTCTTTCATAGACAGTGTAAGCTCCTCAGGGCATTGCAAAAACTTTATTTATGGGTGGACAAGCAAGTTGTGTATTTCCTTGCTGGGCAGTCACTGGGGGCACTCACATTCGTTTATGTAATCGCTAGCCTTTTCTCAACTAATCCATGGCACTCCACTCTCCTAAGGAGAGCTCTGCTCAGCATTTGTTCCTGGACAGTTAAGCTACCATCATCACTGATTCCATGTGTGTGAGCATCTCTTTCCCTGACTCTTCTTCCACTTCATTATCATGATAAAATGTTTTGTTCAAAGACTATTACTTCCTTTGGTGTACTGATTTGTATTAGTAAACATGGTGACAAGCCTCCTGCCTCTGTCACTCTTCCCTTTACTCCTTCTCCCTTTCCATGAAGAATTACAGTGAATATAAAAACATGTCAGTGGACCACAAAATGAAAGATGTTATAAAGCAGTTGTTTAGCTCACCTGTTATGATGGTTTCACCTTCTGGCAGAGTAGGAACTTGATTCATCTATTGCCAGTTTACAGGCATTGAACTGAAAATTCCCCTCAATGCACTTGATGGGAGGATAGAAATAAAAGCAATATTAAAGCTGGATTCAAGACTGGGACTGATCCCCACCCTATGGTTGCATCTCCATAGCTGCAAATCAATATTTTTTTAACTTTTGTGTTTTTCATTTATGTCTGACTTTACAGGCCAACATGAGAGGAATTTTTCTAACTGACCCCTCATTTTGGACTTCCTTTTCCTATTTTGTGACAATTCTGGGGCAGAATTCTGTTTTGTGACAATAGTGGGGAGGGGATAAAAGAGGACATTTGGGAGTCGAACACTAAAAAACACTTGCCTCGTGCAGCTCCAGCCTAAGCCACTTGGCTCATGTAGCTGAGTTCCTGGATGTTTCTTCAGTGACATACTTTTCTGTACTTGTCTTTCATGTTCTTAGAAAGTCTTAGAGCCAGTATCTGTGCTTCTACTTCCTAATACGCGGAGAACAGTCATTCCCTGAGAGTTGAGAGCAAATTTAAAAACTGACAAAGATCTAAAGGTTGTCACCTTTTGTTTTCAAAGCTATATATTCCTTTGTAAAGAAATATCTGAAGGATAATTCCTAAGAGTGATAGAATTATGACATCTTAGAATTGGAATGGACCTTAGAAGTCTACTCTAATCTTCTCTTCTGCCAGACATCCAGTAAATTATCATCCTGTCTCTGCTTAACACTGCCAGTGATGGGGAGCTCACTTCTAACAAAATAGCCCAGTTGATTTTTGTATAGCTATAAATAATTATCAGTGCTTCTTTTCTCTTCATAAATAATAACACCAATAATATTTTCTATGCATATTATCATTGCCATTTATAAATACTCCTACATATATTATTTCATTTGATCCTTATTACTTCTTATTTAGCCATATGAAGTAGATTATATTGATTTTATTTCATTTCATTTAAAAACTGAGACTCAAGTGAGTTGCCCAAGGTCAGAGAGCTACAGAATTATGGAGTCAGGATTGAAAACCAAACCTGTCAGAGTTCAAGCTTAATGCTCCTTGACTTAAACTATATCTACCAGTTAGTAATAGGTCTGGTATTTTGTGCCTTATTAACAAACCTGATCCATCTTTAACATACTAGTTCATCAGATGAATTTAGGTAACTTGTATATGTTCCATCTAAATTTTATCTTTTCTTGGCTAGTTATTTCAGTTGCTCCTCATACAGCATGGTTTTCAGACCCTTTCCCATCCTGATATCCTTTTTATTAACACTCTCCTGTTTGTTAAAGTGGTTTACAAAGTGTGATGTATAAAGGGTGAATAGTATATCCAAATGTGGTCACCACAAAAGATTGCTGGATTATTTCTCTTGTATATGAGTCACTGTCCTATTGCTCTGTACTCTTACTTTTTGTATTTTGGTGGCCATATTGACTACTGACTTCACTGAGCATATAGTCAACTGAAAACTCTACGAAGTCCAAATCCTATTCCTATAATTGAGTATCTGAAACTCAACACCTTGCATTTATCTCTATTATATTTTATCTGGAACTCATTCATTGGCACATACCTATAATCCCAGTGACTTGGGAGTTTGAGGCAGGAGGATTGCAAATTCAAGACCAGCTTCAGCAACTTTGCAAGATCCTCAGCAATTTAATGAGACCTTGTCTCAAATTTTTTTAAAAAAATAGCTGGGGATGTGACTCAGTGGTACAGTGCCCCTGGGTTCAATTCCCAGTACCACCACAAGAAAAAAAAATCTGGTTAGATCTGAACCCTCATTTCAGTATGCCAAGATCCTTTTGAATCCAAATACTTTCCAATACATTTGCTTTCCCTACCAGCCTGACTCTTATTTCTTCTGCTAATTATTGAAAGAAAAGTGCAGTAGCACAGGAATAAAGGAAGAGACCCCTGAAGCAAAATTTCTAATTGAAATGGGAAACAATTTTATAAGAAATAAAGATGAAATTTCAAGGGGTAGTAGGGCCTGCCACTGTGGACTGAACTCCAGTTCTGAGAGCTACTTCCCCTTGAGGTTTTTTCATGTTTTCTTTATCCACATGTTTCTTTCTTGATGGTTAAAATTAAGGCTAGAAAAGTAGTTCTCCCTGTTTTTCAACTTCCTTCCTTCCTTTTAAACCATCTTTCCACCTCTTGTAAGATTTGCAATCATGACCAATACTGTTTCAGATGATCGTGTTAGCTGAATGAGAATTCCAACAGATGTTAGTCTTCCCAATTATTCTTTTTTCTTTCCTCGTCTCAGTTTTGTATTTTGCATTACAAAAGCAATGTTCATAACCTGTTACTGACTAGGCAGTCTATAACATACTACCACAAAGATATAACTTTTATTTTCCCTCCTTTTCTTTCCCGTGCAAATGCTCTCCTACTATTCATTTACACTAAGGTTCATAGATTTCCACATTGTGGTGTTTCCCTTTTGAACAAGAGATAAACTTCTGTTTCCATAGTTCAGTCATAAGTCCCATCTCATCACATCTCAGTGATAGTCAGAGGATCATATATTTATCCAATTAAATTTAGAAATAATTTCAAAATTACAGAACAGTTCAAGACTAGCACAAAAAATGCCCATGTACTCATCACCCACATTAACCTATTGTTAATATTTTGCCCCATTTCCTTTGTCATTTGAAACATTCTATTTTTGGATTTATTTATTTTTCTCTGCATTTTTATTGGTGCATTATAGTTGCATATATTAATGGAGTTTGTTGTGCCATGTTCATACAGGCACACAATTCTCTTTTTTTTTCAGAACTGTTTGAGAGTAAATTGCATGCATCATAGTCTTTCACCCCTAAAGTCTTCAGTGGGTGTTTCCTAAGAATAAGGACATTCTCTTACATAATCATAGTACAGTTATCAACTTTGAGAAATTTAACACTGAGGCAACACTTCTATTTAAACAATCATTCATATTCCAATTTTGACAATTAACCCCAAAATGTTCATTATAACTTATAAAGAACCCAATATTGTCCTTTATAGTCTAGGATCAGGTAATGCATTTAATTATCATTTCTCTTTTTAAATATATGTATTTTTTAGTTGTTGTTGGACCTTTCTTTTGTTTTATATGCGGTGCTGAGGATCAAACCCAGTGCCTCACACATGCTAGGCAAGTGCTGTACCACTGAGCCAACAACCCCAGCCCTCATCATTTCTCTTTAGCTTCCTTTAGTCTGGAACATTTCCTCAGCCCTTCCTTGTCTTTAATGATATTGACTTTTTTTGTAAATATTTTATTGGTTCTTTTTAGTTATATGTGACAATAGAATATACTATGGCATAATTATAAAAGCATGAAATGTAATTTGTTCTAATTCAGTCCCCTTTTAATTTCTTTATTATACTGTTCCTCATTTTAATGTTTCCTCACAATTATTTTTGGGTCACACATTCATGGCTGGAATACTACATAAGGGATGTTATGTCCCCAGAGTGTCATATCTAGAGGCACATGATGCTGACTTGCCCTTTATTGTTGATACTGCTTTTGATCACCTAGTCAAGATATCTTCTGGTTTCTTCACCATGCCATTTATGTTTTTCTTTTGCTACTAATAAGCAATCTGTTAAATCTGTTGATCATTAAAATGTTCTGCTACATAATCAAACCCATCTCACCTCACACCTGTTTTAGCATCAATTGATTTTTGTCTTATCCATTCTTTACTACGATGATAGCAAGATGATGATACTCCAGCTGAGTATTCCCTCCCACAATTACAAGTTAGCACTCATATTTCTATTGTAAGCAAGAGCCCTACCCCTTGTACCCCCTCATTTGTTTATTTACTTACCAGTATGGACTCATGAATTCTCCATAATCAATGATTTATAATTCTTTACTGCCCTTATTTATTTTGGTGCTCAATTTGTCCAGCTCTGGCCAGTAGTAATCTTTCAGGATGACTTCTGGGTCTTATATTCATTCTCCCATCATTTTCATGAGGACTTCCTTACTTTCTGTCATTAAAAAAATGTTCTAGACTTGGGGCTGGGGCTGTAACTCAGTGGAAGAGCACTTGCCTAGCATGTGTGAGGCACTGGGTTTGATCCTTAGCACCATATAAAAATAAACAAATAAAATAAAGGTATGCTGTCCATTTAAAACTACAAAATATTTTTTTCAAAAATGTTCTAATTTTGAACTTATCCTGTCCTAGCCTTAAAATCAGCCATTTTGTTCAATCAGCCTTGGTTTCTTTTAGTGGGAGAAGTAGAGACCAAGATCTGGTTATTAGGTATACACCTATGTAAGCATATGCATATACCTATAATACACATACATATATACTCTGTGTGCACACCTATATGCCCATACAAAAACATATGTAATCATCCCTTGGTATCCAGGTAAAATTGGTTCCATGATCTCCTAAGGATACCGAACTATGCATATGCTCAAGTCCCTTATATAAAATCATATGATGTTTGCATATAACCTACACACATCCTCCTGTTATACTCTGAATCATTCCTAGATTACTTATAATACCTAAAGAAATATAAATGCTATATAAATAGTTATGGTATTGTTTTGGAAATAATGACAAGGAAAAAAATCTGTACATGTCCAGTACAGATGCAGTTTTTAAACATTTTGGACATGTAGTTAATTGTTTCTTTAGACAGAGAACTTGAAGATAAGGAGGGCTGATCTATATATTTTAGAAGTCATTCAGTCACATCAGTGTCAATTCCAATCCATCCCCATGAGTTCTTTCTCACCTTCCCTTATTCCATATTTATATGTTCCTTCTTCCATAGTGGGAACCTTGTCTCCCAACAACATCAATATATATATACTTATTTACTCAATATCATATCTAAAATACTTTCAGAGTTGCTCTGCTCATATCACTACAAACAGAAACCACCTAACAATAATTCAAGGGTCTGCTTGTAGTTCTACCATCCCCATTGCTGTGGTGTGATTATTATTTATTGGAAATTCAGTTGTCATTAGTTCCAGTCTAGTTTTCAGTCTTTTCCCATCCTTGCTGATTTAACTCAAAAAGATATACTCAAAGAAGTATCATTTCCTCCCATGTCATTTTAAGACTTTTTTTTAGTTGTAAATAGATACAATACCTTGTTTTAATTATTTATTTTTATGGGGTGATGAGGATAGAACCAAGTGCCTCACACATGAGAAACAAGTGCTCTACCACTGAGCTACAACCCCAGGCCATTCTCCCATGTCCATTTAATCCTCTTCCTCCATCCTCATCCTTTCAGGATAACTAACTTCATTATTTGTGGGGTTATCTTTCCTATTGCTATTATTGTTGTTTTGCAAATACAAGACACTTTATTATGTTCTCACTTTAATTTTTCTCTCAAAAAGTGTGGCATACTATAGATGCTTTTGTTTAATTAACTTTTTATAATTCATCATATATCCTGGAAATCACCCTATATTAACTCATAGAGATCATACATATTCTTTTTCTGCAGATGTATAATACTTCATTTTGAAGTTTTTTTTATTTTTGGAAGTGTATCTAGAAGATCATATAATTCCCTCTTTGTGTTAAAATTTTATGTGCACTTTTTGATTCACATGTGTATTGGTACATAGATATGCAGGGTCTCAAATAATATTCCTGACTGTTATCCTTATTGTCTTTTCATAAGAATCACCAGTGCCTCCATGTACTTATTCTTTATACAACATAGGTTTGCTTCCTATTATTTCTTTTTCTAGTTTTAATTTAGGCTTTTTCAACCTTCCCCCAAATGAATTATAAAACCCTTTTGATCAGATCTCTTGCAAAATACTCATGACTTATTATTTCCAATTTCCAACCTCAGTACATCCTTTACTAGAGCTGCATAGAAGTGACCAAATCCATTACTCATTTTCCTTGCCCTTTCCATCATCTGGTAGAACTGTGGTTAAAAAGTGGTAAGCTGACTGAAAAAAGAGATAACAGCAGAGGGAAATCTAGATAACCCGTAGACTAGAATGTAGGTTCTTCTTTTACTGAAAGCTAGTCAAATATATATTTTTAATTATATATATTCCCCCTTTTAAGTCAATGTTTATAGTCTAAAAGACCTTCAAAATCAGAAGTCTGGATCTCTGATTTCTTTCTGTACTTTGGAGGGGAAAAGGTTCCAGATGATAATGTGTTCCTAGACTATCCAACCCCAGAGAAGTATGAGAATCAGCCAGGAAGGGGTAAAAATGTACAGTGTCAGACTGAGATGATATTTTGATTATCATGTCATCTCATTGACTTCTCTGACACTTTGAAACCCAGCAAGATTGGTACACGTGAAGATGGGTACTAAAGAGGAATCATAAACCCTGAAAGCCTCATAAGTTTACAGAGACAAACACTGTCCTTAACTCCATGAAATGTGATGTAGTGGAGAGATTACTAGAGTGGGATTAAAAGATTCTACTTAGCACTCTCATCAAAAATCTATGACCTCAGGCATGTCTTCTCTGCATTCTAGTTTCCCATTTGTAAAATGAGGGAAATTCAATGTCTAGGTGTCCCTTATGCTTTGAGTTTTCATGTTTCTGTGCTCTGCACAGGACTGCTCCACCCATGAAAGGCCAGATTCAGCCTGTGGAGGAATGGGCACTTGGGGTAAAGATCCAGTGACTCCATAAGAATGATGGTTCTGTGTATTTGGCATAATGGTCATTCCTGAGTTATTTGGCAAAAAAAATGAAATAACCTAACTTTTGTTAGTGGTTACAAGTCAAGAACGTGGCATAAGCCTAGCTCTGTGGGACTAAAAAATAGTGGAATCTTATAAGCTCTTGTTCATTTCATTTTGTTGTCCAGGACTCAAAAGAAAATGAATTCACTTTGGGGGGCTTATGATTGAATTTTCAGTGTGCTTTTCATCTTCTCTTTAGAACCTGTTGATTGATGTCCTTGTCTTTTCTCACTTTGCAGGCCTGTATAACTCAGTGGATAGCTGGATGATTGTTCCCAACATTAAACAGAACCATTACACAGTGCATGGACTTCAGAGTGGAACACGCTACATCTTCATTGTTAAAGCCATAAACCAAGCAGGCAGCCGGAACAGTGAACCTACCCGACTAAAAACTAACAGTATGTTGTGATTCTAAAAGGAAAGATCCATTTTCTTCTCCCCAGGAAGGATAACCCGAGCAGGCACCCACAATAGAGTGTGAGAGCAGCGGCACTGTGTAGAGGAGCTTTACTCTTGTAATTTGTGTTTTGAACAAGAGGTTTGTTGGTGTCTATGGGAAATTTGTAGACAGAGAGATACATAAAATAGCTGATTGTTTGGGAGAATGTAACTGAAACGTTTTTCTCTGCTTTTTCCTGCCCCCATGCTTGGTGGAAAATTGAGAGAAAGACCATTATTTGTGATTATGCAGCAAACCTCTACTGCAGAGAAGCCATATCTGTTAGGAATGCTTTTGACCACAAATAATAGAAAATGCAACTAACTTAGCTTAACCAATAGTATTTGTTAGTAACTCAAACAAATAGTTTTTCTTCTTCTGAATGCACAATGAGTGTAACTCTTCATCATGTACAACCACAAGAATGTTATCAAAATTGTAATGGGTTGCACTCCATGTATGTATAATATGTCAAAATACACCCTACTGTCATGTATTTCTAAAAATAAAAACAACAACAGAAAAGAAGTTTGAAGGTAGGCAATTCAGGGCTGGAGCAGCAGCTCTGCAGTATCATAAATGGCACTGGTACCTTCTCCCTTTGTGCATTGGCTTATTGCCATGTGATCACAAAATGGCTACTGCAAACTCCAGATATCTTATTTCTTTTAAAGATAGGAAGACAGAATTAAACCATTGGTACACATGATGACTATCTCTTCTATCAGGAAAATAGAAAACTTCCCAGAAGTTTCTACCCCTCTGACTTTAGTTCCATCTCATTAGCCACCTTTGGCAGCAAGGGAGGATAGGAGATTGGGTAAAAGAGAATAAATAGGGAATGGGAATTGGGCCAGCCAACAGTGTCTGTCACAGAAGCATTTTAATAATAAAGCTTTTGCCATACCCAGCAACTGGCCTCTGATAACAATGCTTTGGTCATATAGTTATAAAGAATTCTCTGTTGTGAATGATCCTTACACAATAAATGTTTTCTCTCATCACTGATGATGCACTGTCACTCAAAGATGCCTAATGATATTTTGTTTACATTCCAATTTAATGAGAGCAAAAACTTATTCTTTTGCTGAGTTCTTTTCAGGTTTGTCTTCTGTTTTTGCCACCAAACAGAAATTGCCTTATAGGTACTCCTCACTTTGTCCCCCTCAAATATCATGATACTCCTTCTCTTACAATCTACCTGAATTTCAAACCACCCACTGAAATAAAGCAAAGTACAAAACATATTTGAGGACAGAAGCCTTAGAGACATCCCTTTTAATTTGATAATATATTCTAGTGGGCAGCTGACTAGCTCTCATATGCTTAGAATATGATTTCAGGAAAATAATCATATGAGAGATCCAATTTTTTCCTGCAGTGGTGAAATAAATGCCTTTAGAAGATAATTTTGTTGGGGATTGGCCTCTATTCTTATTTAATTGAAAATGTGGCTTCTGATCTGCCTCCTTAATATAGTCTAAACAGCAGCCAACTTGCACTGACCAAAGAATGATCATTATATCAAGGCTCCACTGCTATTGATGGTCCTGGAAGACAAAAGTAAAATTCTTAAAAGCTTCATCATGCTTTTTCTCTTTTCAATTTTTTCAGGCCAGCCCTTTAAACTAGATCCTAAAATGACTCACAAGAAGTTGAAGATCTCCAATGATGGATTGCAGATGGAAAAGGATGAAAGCTCTCTGAAGAAAAGTCATACCCCAGAGAGGTTTAGTGGCACAGGGTGCTATGGGGCTGCAGGAAATATATTCATTGATAGTGGCTGCCACTATTGGGAGGTGGTCATGGGTTCTTCAACATGGTGAGTGGATCCAATTTTTCTTTTTTCTTATTCCCTCTCTTTTTAAATCCCTGGGGATTCAATTTTATAGCATAACCATAATATCAATAAGACATGGTTTAAAAGTATGTGATGAAAATCAGTCCTAGAAAAAATTTCCATTTTTAATAAGATTATGGAATATATGTGGTGGTAGGAGATGGAAATGACTACATAGCTCTAATTGCTAACTTTTCAAAGCTCTATTGATATTAGCATTTTGTAACTATTGAAGGCAAAAACATGTATTCTACTTCTTATGTGTCCTATATGGTGTCTAGAACAACTCATATCATTTATGAATGTGTATTTCTCTCTCCTTTCCATTGTTTCACAGGTATGCAATTGGTATTGCCTATAAATCAGCTCCAAAGAATGAATGGATTGGCAAGAATGCATCTTCATGGGTCTTCTCTCGCTGCAATAGTAACTTTGTAGTGAGACATAACAACAAGGAAATGCTGGTGGACGTGCCCCCACAGTTGAAGCGTCTAGGTGTCCTCCTGGATTATGACAACAACATGCTGTCTTTCTATGACCCAGCTAACTCTCTCCATCTTCATACCTTTGATGTGACCTTCATTCTTCCAGTGTGTCCAACATTTACAATCTGGAACAAATCCCTAATGATCCTGTCTGGCTTGCCTGCCCCAGATTTTATTGATTACCCTGAGCGGCAGGAATGCAACTGTAGGCCTCAAGAGTCCCCTTATGTTTCTGGGATGAAAGCTTGCCATTAAATTTCAAGAGAGCATATAATTCACTGGCTCTCCTGTTCAGCAGTTCTTCCCCTCAGTTAGTGTTCAATATACAAGATAAAAATAAAATTCATCTGAAGCATCCAAAATAACTAGATATTGTAGAGTTAATTTTTGTGCATTAAAGCTTGTATTTGAATCAATGTAATTGAGTTCCTCAGAACAAATTATCTGAATAGTCTGGGTTCAAGCCATTGAAGATGAAATTTAGAGAAAGCCTCTGTTGTCATTGGACAATTAAAAATTCCCAGTGATTTAAGAGTTTAAATTATATTGGAAGGATTTAGGGTAATTCTAGGTAATAATGTAGAAAGATACTCTGAACAAGGAGCTAGCCAGCCAGAATAGGGTATGGTTGTCAGCCTTTCTAGTACTGGCCAGTTTGGCCAAGTAGAATTTTGAACAGTGTCAATTGATCACATATTGTATGTCTCTTTTAATAGAAACCTACAAGCAATGCTTCACTACAAAGAAAACATGGGTGTATATATAATATATAAAATAATCAAATTCATTTTATATATTATATTTACAAAATAAAAGTTTTAATTTGCACATTTGAGTGATAAATATACTGGAAGGAAAAATAAATTACACCATTCATTTTTTCCCTAAAATAAACCACAAAATCAATCAGCATTTCTCCCCTCCCCCTTCCAACTCTTCCTTCCCTCCTCTTGTCACACACACACATAATATATGCAATCATTGACATAGACAGTGAGAAGCACTCTTGGTTCGATTAAGAGAGACTTGAGGAGAACATTGTACAAGAGATGCTATTGCTAGATAGAAAACTGATCCAGGTGGAAGTGTCCTATGTGGTACAATTTCATGGATGATACTTAATAGAGGAGATCCATCTGAATTGTTAAAAATTATGTCAGAATATTACAAAGAAATATGGTTTCATCATTCACACATATATACAGTTCCCAGAATTAGGCCAAAACGGTTGTATAATGCAGCTTCTGTAGAAACTTGCTTTACTTAATCAGTAAGGAAGGAACTGTATAGATGCAACAACTATTTGCATATAAATATAGTGTTTTCAGATTTTAAAAAAACCCAAAACTTCTGAAGTGCTCAAATGCCTGAGAATAGTTTGTTATTGTTAAATGAGGTTAAATACTATTTCCATTTGCAATCTTCTTCACACTATTCATTTACTTAGCCATCTTTTCAAATGCAGACATTAATTTCATCCTCAAAAGCAAAGTTGAAGGGAAATGAACTTCATGGTCTATGATTTTTGCCAGTTGTATTGCAGAGACTAAGAGCTATCAGATTCATAGCTTTCTCCTTTTCCAGGAGCTAAGTCTTCCCCAAGGAGTCTATTCTTTGGGAATTGTGATAATACTGTTTTGCAATTATGAAGTGATAGCTATAGCTACAATCACTTGTAGATTGGAGCCTTAAAGTAATGTCAAAACTCTGCTCCTCTTCCTTTCCTTCAGCATGGTAAATGCTCATTTATTAATTTGTTAAATAAACTATTAGATGCCAGGTAACACACTACTGCCCTGAGAATGCACATATTAAGAAAACAGTTCTTGCTCTCAAATGGCTTATGATTCTGCATAAGAGAAAGAGTATCTCTATAAATATCACCCAATTACAGATATTGTTTACCCAACATGGAAAGCAAGACTGATGCAGATATAAAAGGAAGGCTCAAATTTACACATGTAATGGTAAAGTCAGCTTTCTGGCTTTAAAGACCATATGGACTTACTGCTAATCAGGAAATGAGTAACCCCAGTAAGATTAAGTAGTGCTGGCAAGCAGCTTACTGTAATGGAAAGCCTTTGGGTTATAATTTTGGATTAGAATAATCCTAGTTTCTCTGCTATTTACTAGTAGTGTGACCAAGGGTAGGCATTTCACTTCTCCGAGCCTCTGTTTTCTTTTCTGTAAAATAATACTTCACAGGCTGTTTCAAAGATTTCAAAAGATAGCATGTGGGGGCTGGGGCTGTAGTTCAGTGGTAGAGCACTTGCCTAGCATGTGTGAGACACTGGGTTCCATCCTCAGCACCACATGAAAATAAATAAATAAAGATATTGTGTCCATCTACAATAAAAAAAATAAAAAATAATAAAAAAGATTGCATGTGGAAACTGCCTAGCACAGCACCTGGCATTTAGTAAGTGTGTCATATATATTAATCTCCTTCTCAAAGCCTTTTACTGCCCTGGGACAATAATTTTTCCACCTTACTTTTGACTCTAGCCTGGATTAAATTTCTCCACCTCTCACTCTCTCAACCGGACTAACACCTGATCTCCTAACTGAGTTATGGGCCCCTCTTTGGAACCCACATGGCACTCTAAGTATCCCCTCCCTGAGCAATAATCACAGTGTATAGCAATGTTTTTCAAAATGTGGTCTTCAGAACACTTATGTTAGGATCACCTTCCATGATTTGTTTGTTAAAACAACCGATTTCTGGACCCCGCATAATTAGACTATCTGGAAACAGGCGGAAATGTACATTTTTGTCAAGCTCCTCAGGTTATTCTAATGCACATGAAAGTTTAATGTATAATAATTATCTTCCCTATTAGACTGGGAATGTCTTGAGGGCAAGGACTGTGTCTTGTTGTTGTTGTTGTTGTGTTTTTAATACTTGGCACAGTGTCTGGAACAGAATAGTTGCCTGTCTAATGTTTGTTGAACAAATGTATGAATGAACAAATGAACAAGCAAAATTTATCTCTTGTACTCTGATGATCAGGGTGGTATTTGTTACTTACTGGGCAGAAAAGTTTGGTTACTTCTCCATTTTGTCTGTATTGATATTATTTTCAAAATGCAATAGGGCTCATACATATAAATGAGCATTCTTCTCCTCAAATACACTTTGGCAGTCATCTTGGGGAATTGTCTTTGGAACATGTGACACCATTCTTTTCAATAACACTTCATTTTTTTTCACTTTGTTCTTTGAAGGTATGTTTAAGTTGATTATAGGCTAAAATCACTCAGAACTAAGCCTACTAAATAAACTGGGAAGTGAAACAGTTTGAGGTAAGCAATGAAGTTTGACTGTAAAGTCCCAACTTCTGAGCCAAATAATGAAGTGACTTCCAAGATACAGCAAAGTTGCAAAGCACACAATAGGGATTCCTCAAGTCCCACATATTGACTTTAGTAAACTTAAGACTTTCATAGAATCCTGGCAGTGCCAGGAACCATAAGAGAAGCCATTGGCTGTCTCTAGCTTAACCCAGTTGCACAAGGGGAATAGAATCTGTATTTAACATCTTCAAGGAAGGTGACTTCATAAACTTTTTTTGTTGCTTTACTCAATCTATTCTCCACAGCTCTTTCTGCTAGAAAATTATTTTCTGTCTGTAGTTTATGCTTTTTTTCACTTTTTATATTGTCTTCTTGAAGAAAGCACAAAAATAAAGTTTAGCCTGTTTGAGAATATGAAAGAAATTTTAATGCCACATAGAGGTTCTGGCTATTTACCTATAAGTAAGAGTAACTGCATCTGGCTGTATTTTTATTATGTCATTCCATTGTGTATCTTTAGATGCAGTGAAATTCCAATTGCAGCAAAATCACTTATACATTCTTTTCAGCAAATATACTCTAGGCGATTTTTTTAAGCTTCCATGGTTTACATATTTATATATGATGACTACCTGGATGGAGCAATCCATGGATGGACTTTTGAATTAGCTCAAATATTTGATACCCTTTCTTCCAAGGAATAGAGAAAGTGAGGCAGGTAGATATGAACCACACCCACACTTATTTCTAGCTCCTGAAGCCAATTTCAGCCTTAGAGCCATTGGCTGTATTTGGCTGTGTATTACAAGTTGGCCAGACATTGCCATCAGGTCGGGAAAGCTGCCCTTTATGGTGTGGTCTGCCGGCTTCAGACATATGCTGTGTTAATGTTATTGGCTAGAATATTTATTAGACTCTTGTTGGACTATTTTTTATCAAATGCTTTATCCCAGGCTTGTTTGTACTGGGAGCTCTGGACCAATAGTGTCTCTCCCAGTGAAACAAATATGAGCATCTGTGAATTAAACACAGTCTCACCCCTCTCTGAAATATCCCAGCCCATCCAAAATGCTATATTATGAATTAAATAAATATATATGTATTCATGAGTTCTTGGCTGTCACTGGAATTTAATTGGGGGAGGACTAAATGAACAATTATGGGTTACTGGAATTGGGTAAGTGACTTGGGGGAAAACACTCATAATATGTAGAGATCTGTGCAGAGAGGGGTCTAGGAGGTCTGGAACTCAGGATCCAATAATGAAGACTTTTATTTTAGGAGCAGTATATAGTCAACTCCAAGGAAATGAAGATATAAAGTCCAAAGAAATGTGACACATCCAGTTTCAGGAAATGGAATGGAAGTTAGGAACTACGGGAGAACAAGTAAGTCCCTAGTGCCAGAACTCATTGGTTAAGGTCAGAGTAGGACCAGAAGCCAGTGAGCTAACTTACTGTTAAATAATTGCTTTATAAGAGGAGCCTAGGAATGGTAGGCAGTACCTCAGGGTTGGTATTTAAAAGAAATTTTAATGCCACATAGTAATTAATCAGATTTGATGTTGCCCTGAGACTAAAAGGCCATGCAATGTGAAGCAAACAGGGCAGTCAAGTAGGCAGTTAGAGTAGTGACTTGAAATGAGGTCAGACCAAGGGCCTACAGAAATATAACCCAAAGGCAAGAGGATTAAAACATAAAGGAAAAAAAAAACATAAAGGAGACAAGAATTTGGAGTATTAGGGAATAATTGGTCTAATTGGTAATCTGGAGAAATGCCAGATATGAGGCCACTGTCCACAGCTGTTTTAGTCAGCTTTTTAGCTGCTATGACTAAAGGACCCTACTAGAACAATTGTAGAGAAAGAACTGTTTATTTAGGGCTCATGATTACAGAGATTTCAGTCCATAGAAGTCCAACTCCATTCCTAGGGACTCCAGGTGAAGGTGAACATCATGGTGAAAGAGTGTGGCAGAGGGAAGCAGCTCACATCACGATAGTTAGGAAGTGGAGAGAGAAACTCCACTTTCTAGATACAAATATATACCCAAAGCCACGCCCCAATTCCTG